AATTCATCCAGAGCCAAGAAAAGAATCATAAGATTGTGATGGTTTTCATTATCATATACGTATCTTAATATTGTTCCATGGCCAATAAAGAATTAAAGTGCTTTTATAAATGCAACAATATATTACATGAAACTGTTCTCAAGAAATTCAGCTTACTGAAAGCACAGTTCCTCATGGCCTAGTGTTGAAATAAAAAGTGTCTTCATTTCTTCTTTATCATTTGCCACAGAAAACCAAAGTTTAAAAGCCACAGGCTTAGAATCAGGTGATTTGTGTCTTGCCAGTGTTCGGCATAAAATATCCACTGATGAATAGTGGAAATACTATTCAGTAAATGAATAATGGCTAGATGGTTGGATGGCTGATTGTATCCATTTTATATATTCATATCCGTCGCCATTAGAATGGTATAAAATTACCAAATAAATGCTTGATTTTTAATAATTACTATAGGTGGTATTTAAGGAAGTAGAATTGTGAGACAACTGTGGCTTACCATGGATCAGATCAACACTTGGGTAATGACATAAATGACATAAATAAAATTGAGGTGTTTACTGTAAAGGATGTAGTTATTTGGACATCATCAATACGGCATTTGTGGTCTAATAACTGAGGTGTTGGTTGTATTTCTGTAATGTGAAGGATACGAGTAAAAATAGGAAGAAATTAGTAGACTTGTTTAGGATCCTGGTATCCCTATTTCCTAGTTCTCTATTAAAATTCCTTAGTAAGGAAATGAAAGGCTAGGGGACAAAGAGAAAAAAAATAACCCTCTAGGATTCCAAAAAAATGCCTTCTTAAAAAATAAAGTGTGCTTGACATACTTGACATGCTTTATTTCCCTAGAATAAATTTATTTGGATACAACGTAAATGAAACATCTTAATTTTGTGTAGTTATTTCACAGTGTTTATTTGGATTAACTGATGACTATGCTGGCAACTAGTGTGTCTTCAGTTGACCTCAGGGCGCACATTTCTGTTGTGTTCTTTCCTTTATATAATCTATTTACCTGTCTGTGTGAAGGCTTGTCATTGGCTCTGACAAAAACTAATTAGGGCCCCCAAAGCACTTTGCTACAACTACTGCTTATATTAAGTGAGATGTTAACGTTCAGACTAATCAAAGTAGTTACGAGTGTCATGTGCCTGAACTGCAAGTGTATTGGGACTTTGCTTGCTTTACATTTTATTCCAAAGAATTAAGATTATCTGGTAGCTTATTATTAGGAGTTATATTTGTGAATAGATTCCTAAAATTTATATTTGGAGACTATTTCCTTGTTCTATGTATGGATTATATATGAACCCTTGGGATTTTTCTGAAAAAATTAAAGTTTTTTTTAATCACCAAAGGCTATTTTTGATTCAATGTAATGTAAAGAACAGAGAAGTACAGTCACCAAAAATATGTTAACAAGTTGTACAACTTTTAAACTAATCTATAAGACAACTGTGTATATTACTTCTTTTTACCATGTTACATTAACCTTCATGTGGTTTGTTATGCAATAGAATTGTGTGGCTAGGTCTCGATTTCAAAGAAATTGAATTCCATCAACCTCTTTTAAAATGTAGGATTAAAGTTATCATATAAATTAAAAGAGCATTGCCTGTTGAATCTTCCATGAGATCATTAATTACTTCCTGGTGTTGAAGACTCAATAAATAATTTAGACTACTTAGAATGAAACCAACTAAAGCATACTTACCTTAGCTTCCCTGTTTATTTAGATTTAAATTCTTACCTTAATTTATCACACACAAGTTGGGAGCTACTCAACAAATACATAAATTCCTCTCGGCTATCACTTTCTGTGCAAATAAAATAATTATGACATATGCTATTTTCAGAAGTTTTAATTGACAGCCTCATTTCATAATTGGGCAAGTCATTCAAAGGAAATTGTTTTCCTCTCTGCTTAATGATATATTGGTCAGAAATGCTTTCCTGACTGTGAACATTCCATATACTCTTTTGAATGTAATCATTTAGATTTTAATGAATGCTTAATTTGTAAGAATAAGGCTAAGTCATGCTAACCTTTCCATTTTTTTCTAAAAACATATTGCAGGTAAAAAATAAAGTAGAAAAAGTTTAACCTTCAGTGTTTGGTGCTCATCTTCATAATTAGGAGGATGCATGCCACAAATAGTATATATCCATCTTAGAGTTAAGGTTTTGAAATTTTCATCATCTAATCAAATGAAAAATAATTAGTAGAAAATAAAAAAGTACTATAACTTTTTATTCTTCATAAATATTAGACATTTGGTGTGGAATCTCAGTAGTAAATTATTAGAGGAACCAAATTGTGAAATAATATTGTATAATAGGTCAAAAGTTTTTTATACACTTACCAGTATAAGGGTCCTGCATGGGTGTCCTTATTAAACCATTAGCCTAGTCACACAATGATAGTCACACAATGAAAGAGAATAAAAGGGCAAATTTGAGTGACATTTATATCAACTTTGGAGCTGTCCACTTCTATTATATCCTAGGGGTCTTGCCCTTCTTGCTTTTCAGACACCTGTGCTGCCTTGAATGAAGAATATTAAAAGTTCCAGTGGGTCTATTGCTTGAATAGATGCTTCGAAGTCCTCTATCAGCATGCCCATGTAATAGCTCTCAGTGCTTAGAACTCAGGCACCCAACACTTCACCCCATCAGCACCCCGGTCCCATTGCTTCATCAACACGATCACTCCCCCTATGTACACACTCACTTCTCTCCCATTTCCTCTGCGCTCATAAATCTCCTCTGTGCTAACTTGGGAGAATATTTCATCATCTTTTTATGTTTCTTTTCTTTTCTACACTGTCAAGTGAAACAACTACCTTCAGTTTCTCAGCTCATTCCCCGAAACTTTTGCTAGAGTTGTCAGTGTTGTCCATAAGTTCTAGGGCTGCCTCAGAAGCCACTAGTTTCATACGGAGGACAGTTAACAGGAACAAGGTATGGTAGGGAGAGAAACGCCCACAGTTTTCACAGCTGTGTCATATACAGCCAGTGAAGTCCCTCTCTGGCAGTCAGGATATTTACATTTAATGAACAGGGGGACTCCAGAGTCTAGCCCTTGTTCCCCACTGAATCTCGGTAGCCTTTAGTTTATACTGCATATGGATGTTTCCATTTTTATTCCTAGCTTATGATATGCCCCACTCAAATTTTAAATAGTGAGGCAATATTACATATTTTAAATGTTATCTCCATATATTGAAAAATCATTTTATTAAAGGGTTTTTAAGCCTAAACAAACTCTTATGAAAGTCTCCTTTTTATAAGGCAGTGGCTCTCAAAATTTATTGTTCTTCAGAATCACTTGGGAATACTTATTAAAACAAAGTTGCTGGCACCCAATCCCAAAGTATTTGTGATAGAGAATTTTCCTGGCAACAAGTTCCCAAGGGCTACTGATGGTTCTAGCACATGGGCCACAATGTAAGGAGTGCTCATCCATAGCCAGGTGCATAAATACGGTATTCTGCCAACCATGGCATCATAGGTAAGCATGTAGACAGGAATGATAGATAAATGGATAGGTGTAGGTAGATAGATACATAGATAGAAAATAGATAGATGATAGATAGATGTAGATGATCAATACAAAGATAAATACATTGATACACAGGTACACTAATTGATTAGAAAGCTCAATTGAATAATCTGGGAATAATTTTCCCCTATAGTTTTTAAAGTGTAAATTTCTCAAATTTATTTAGTCCAACATTGTATTATCTTATTATTCCTCCTAGGAAGATTCTAAGAATCGGGATAGATTTGGCACAATGGTCATTAATTTATTATGTATCTCATCTGATGACAGATGGTTAATTCGAATTACCTCATGGATTTTCAGATAACTGTTCTTTTCTCTGAAACAAAAATAATTGAAAAAAGAAGTTATAAGCTTAGTTTTTCCTAGTCTGTTCAAGGGTTTTGTAAATGCACCTAACTACAGAAACGAATTATAACCCAAGAAGAAGCCATTTAAAATACAAACTTGAAATAGATGCTATATTGTAACATTTGACCATATTTTTAAGTGAGTTATTTCAGTGTTCCCTTTTTTGGTAAATAAGTACATGAAATTTTTGTATATGTTTACCAACATGTTTTCCTGTCACCTAATTAGTCCATTAAATTAAAGACTATTGTACTTTCAACAAATTACCCTGCTACTAGTAAATATTTTATGTTCCTAACTCATGAAGTACTAACTCAGTGGAAACTACATTTTTATTTTACAATTAAGTCACAGTAAGCAAGGACATACAAATAAGTGGCACAATATTCCAGTTTTAAGAATGCAGACACGGAATGAAGCAGCTTTTTCTGCAATGACAGAAGACATCCTTGTGTGGTGCAGTGCAGATGTGCTGATATCATACCCACCACTTTATGTGTGAACTTAACTAAGACCTCGTCTAGAAAGGAGTCAAATTGAGTTACACTATCCAAATGTAGAATAATTGGAAATCAGCACCCCTGCTCAACTCATCGCACACAGATCCTCATGTCACATGCAATGGATCCATTTAAGTCACCCATCGTGGGTGTCCCAGGCACTCTGCCCAAGCACCAGCATTCAAAGATGCATGGGATTCAACTTCCGCTCCCTGGACTTTAAGAACAAAAATGAACAGCAACCAGCATCATAATTTTATATGAGCTGAGTAGTCTCTCGATAAACAAGAAGAGTCTGAAGAACAACTTTTTAGGAATATTTCTTACAGGTTACATCAGTTATGTGCTTTCTATGACTAGTTGAGGGTATGTGTGATTTCTAATATGCAGCCAGGGTTTTGTCATATGTAGTTGAAAGTGACACTATGTTGACAGCTACGCAAACACTGTAATGCTCAGATTGAATATTAGGATCACTGGTGGGTAGAATCATTTGATGGGAAAAGACAGGCTGTATACCTGTGTTTTTCTAGACATTTGTGACCAGCCTTTCCTTATCACAGCTCATGTTCTGATGATCATTGCAGGATGAAGTGGCACAGCCACTGAACCTCTCAGCCAAACCCAAGACCTCTGATGGCAAGTCACCCACATCACCCACCTCTCCCCACATGCCAGCTCTGAGAATAAACAGCGGGGCAGGTCCCCTCAAAGCCTCCGTCCCAGCAGCATTAGCTAGTCCTTCAGCCAGAGTTAGCACAATAGGTAAGTTCTGTTTCCTTTGTTCTTGTTGACTTTTCTGTTTACAACGATTAAATGACATCATCTTTAGTGGCATATTATACACAGGCAGTCCATGGATTGAGCTCGATAATAATTTCAGTTTGAATTATTATGTAATTCATGCAAGTGAAACTTATAACTGAAGTCCCAAGTTACAATGTCCCCCTGAAAATCTAATTATACTAGTTGTTTATATATGTAACTTATGTCTGTAAGTTTATAAAAAAAGAGACCTAAATGACTAGTAGTCTTGACCAATGGTTCCAAAATGATGTTGTTAGGTGACTTGCCTTTTCCTTCACTGAATTTTTTTCCCATTTCTTGGCATGTGTTCAAAGTACACATAACGATGAAATCCATTCTGCCTGCATCAGCATGTGGAGTTCATTCCAATGTATTCTACTTGAAAATTCTGTCTGAACATACCAAAGTATTATAGAGTGGTGCTTCAGTTCTCTATGACTGCAATCACAGTAAGCAAACATTAGGGAAAGCTTCCACAAATGGACAAAATTCAATTAGTTTATCTTGTTATACATAAATTAGAGCCGAAACACTTAATTCAACATACATTAATTGATACGTTTATTACTTACATAAAATTATGAATAAGCTAGTCCATAGTATCTCTCAAGTAGCAAGTTCATCATTTAGTTGGGTTGATGATATGGACTTATCTTTTTGTATATTTGGTGTCGAGAAGTGATTTTACAGTCTGAGCAAGGAGGAAGAGGAGAGGAGTTGAAGAGCTGTACAGATTTGTGAGAGTACAAGGGTGACAATACACAGAAGAGATGATGATAATAGAAGGTTAGCTTTAGAAAGAGGGAAAGACACAAAAAAGAGAAAGATTGGTCAAGGTTCTGAGAAACTGTGGCCAGAGAGAATAAGGAAGGAGCATATTTCAGATGCTTTCATCCCCACAAAGCAGAATTCAAGATTATTCATTAAGAGGAATTCAGAATTGTGCAGTGGTACAGCAGTTAGAGGAAAAACAGAAGACATTGAAGTTTTGAGAAGTCTGAAAAAAACTTCAGGATACGCATGTGCTTTTTCATCATTATGGCCAAACACTGTTAACTGCTCAGCATCCATAAGTTAAGATTTGCTTTTATGTACTAAGTATGTAAAGGAAAAATATTTTATTTGGCAAGAACAATTCACTATACATGAAGGCTCATAAATATCCCAGGGTTGATATATGACCTACTTTTGTAATGTTACTTGAACTAAACTTTAACTAATAGAATGACTAATACATATGCTTTTTATTGTGTGTTTGGATTATTTAGTTGAAGGATCAAGTATGACATAGTATTTTATAAAGGCAAGAATGCATTTAAGGATACTTATCATATGACTTCCTTTACCACTAAAACATCTTTTCATTTTCTCTGAAAAGTCCTTTCACCATGTACATATCCCTCATACTTTCCAGGGGTTTGAGGCCACTGCAATTTACTTTTCTCTTTTCAACAAATACAGATGTTGAAAGCTGAAACTGTAATGAGTAATAATGTATTTGGATAAAAGCTGTGAGGATTAATGGTGTTGGAAAGGTCACCCTGGAAGAATTAATGTGTTATGCTATTGAAAGCATGGAAAACTGTGGATGAAAGATAACATCATTAATGACACCGGGCTCTTTGCTATATGTCTATTAGCTACAAATATAGAAAGTGGCTTTTTGAATTTGGCAACCAATATTACAGAGTCTTCTATAAGAATGCTTTTGATTGGTACACAAGTGATAGGCAGTTCCAAAGAAAGGGAATCCCTAAAAGGCATGAACAGTTCAGAAGAATGATGGATAATTTTAAAATCTTTTGACCTGACTTTACCTTTCCTGTTCCCTCATAGGCCCTTGCTTCCTATGTTGTACATATATATAACATTTTAAACTTTGTTCAAACACTTTTTATCTATTTTCTCACTGCAGCTATTCTCAAATTATAGACCCTTAACTAGCTAAAGCAGATGTCCATATTATCTAGACAAAAGTCATTAATTTTACAGGTAAGGAAGAGAACTAAAGAGGTTAGGTGGCTCCCCAGTCATTCGAAGTAAATTCCTTTTAGTATGGACAGTCCTATGATTCTATACTTATTTCCCCTATTTTACATTTTGTTTGTTTGTTTGTTTGTTTTGGTGCTTGAGGAAGGAATTAGAGGCCTCACACATGCCAAACATGCTTTGCCACTGAGCTGCATCTGCAGCCCTCTTTGTTTGAATATTAAGCAAACAAATAGGCATGACAACCTAGAAAGTCATTTGCACTCACTGCCATGAGAGGTTGGGTTCTTACAATGAACCACCTTCCCTAGGGTAGCATTCTTTCTTTGTAGTTGTCGCCTGCTGGTAGCATTAGATGCTCTTCTCAGCTATTTATCTTTTCTTTCATCCATGTAAGTAAAAATTAAATACCTTTTCTGTGCCATACATTTTACAAACGCTAGAGGACAAGCAAGTAGAAGTCTTGGACTGCAGCTTTGGGTGTCTCCAGCCTCTGTCCTAGTATAAGTTGGCAATATATTGGAGTGTGTCATTGTCACCTTTCATTCCTCAGGGGGACAGGACAAGTACAAGTTTACCTGTACAAATATAGTAGACACCCAATGGCCAAGTTCATTAATGGCTGTTTCTACAACTTCCTACTTTAAAAATATGATGACATGGAGGAGAATATTACCTTCAAGCCTCACTAGTTTATATTTTAATGGGAAAACCATGTGGAGGTTTTAATGAGAAAACCTTACATCAGGACAGGTGATTAAGTGACAATACTGTAATTCATAGGAAGCCAGTGGATTATCAGAAAGTTCGAGGTGTTATTCGATCACATCTGACACTTCACAGTTTATAAAATGCTTTCACATTTATTGTCTAATTCTGGTGAGCTTTTGCATATGAAGAAATGGCTGCCTATCAGGGCCAAAAATTTAATGATGACAAGTGACCTCAAAGTTGAAAGAAAAGTAATCTTCTTGGAAAATCCCTTGAAACACCTTATACCCTTCCTTTTACTTATAGCTAAAAATTTTTATGTCAAATAAATATATACTGAGAATTTGTCTTGCTTTGAGTTCATCAGTTAGAAGCATCAACTTTAATTAATGTGTGGCATGTGGCATGAGTTTCCATTGATAAGAAGACAGAGATGACCAATGAACCTGAAATTATAAAGGCAGATATTTTCAACTTAGAAATATGTATTTATATTCCTTCAAAAGACTCTGTTACTAGGCAAAGTAATAAAAGATTGAAAGAAAAAAATGCCTGCAAGTAGTTTATAGACTGATGTGTCAAACTTAGAGAAATGTAAGACAATGCATAAGACAGGGAAAGCATTTACCAGGTGTAGGAGTAGATAGATTGGTGTTCTAAACTTGCCAAGAAGCATGTCTGAGCTGTGTTGGGGAAGTCCTTGCAGAAGGGGTGACTTTTTAAACAGTATTTCAGCAAAAGAAGAATCTTGGAGATAGGAGTGGGAGCAAATAGAAAGAAGTCCTGTCCTTGGAAGGGAAAACGTCCCTGTGCAACTTCAACTACAGACTCGGGAAAGACAGGCAGAAGGGAATGGGGAGGATAAATAGAGCTGATAGCACAAAGAGGCTTTTAGACCATGTTGGAGTGTTTGGAGCTTATCCCAGGATGATGCTTTTGGGGAACATTAAGGAGTTTTGAAAGCTCTGATGTATTTGGGAAAGGCTGCATACTGTTGTTATCTCTTAAAGAGTCACAATATACATTAACAATTATTGACTGTGATAGACCATCTTTTTATGAAATGCTACTTTAAGGACTAGGGTAACAAGAGATGGATTTTAAAGCAAAATTTTGACATCCAAATTGCATTGGAATATTTTGGAATGCTTTATCTGGAAGCAGAGTAGGAGACAGATTAAAGGAATGTAGTCGTGAAGATAGGAAAACCAGATCAGGTTAAGTGAGACATGAGGTGATTTTAATGAAAGCAGGGACCAAGAGGAAGGAGATGCAAATTTGGGAGATTAAGAGAGAGGCGAAGCTGTCAGAGTTTGATTGCCTTTTGTCTGGATGGGACAACAGAAATATCTTAGATGATTTCTAATTGACTGGACAGGCAATGGAAAGGTCTATGGAGTAGAAAGAGCAGATTGATGCAGGCAAAAGATAGGGAATTCTGTACTAGACATGCGGCAGCACAGGTATTCATTGGACATTTGAGCAGAGAAGCTCAGTAGACAGATGTGTATATCTACAAATCAGAATATGAAGGAGCCAAAAGTTATTCTGCAGTTCATGGAATCTCCCCTCAATTCTTAGGGTTAAAAATATTAAATTGATGTCCTGGGCCTGCCACAACAAATTGCCATTAACTGGGTGGCTTCAAACAGAAATGTATTCTCTCATTCTTCTGGAGGCCAGACCTGAAGTCAAGGTGTTCACATGTCTGGCTCCTGCTGGAGGCTCTGAAGAAAAATCCACCCATGTTTGTTTTTTCCCTATCTCCTAGTAGCTGCTGACAATCTCTGCCTCCATATATGCACTCATGGCTTTCTACCTTTCTCTGTTTGTCAGATGTCTCTGTCTCATTTTTCTTATAAGCTCACCAATCATTAGATTTAGGACTTTCCCTAAATTCAGGGTGATCTCATATCTAGATCCTTAACTTAATTACACTTTCAGAGACCCTGTTTCCAAACAAAATCACATTCACAGGTGCTGTGGATTAAGACTTGTATATATCTTTCAAAGGGAAACAATTCAGGTCATGGTAGCTGGTATAGTCCCCTCCTGTTTTTTGTTCTTTTGTATAACAACCATTACTACTTCTTTCCCTTTAGTGTTCATTCACCTTAAAATTGGATGTTTCAATTTGTTTCTTTTCTGTCCCTGAAGATCCATACAAGGGATCTTTTAAAGAAAGAGGAGAAGTGAGAGAATGAGAGGAGTAGAAGAAAAGAAAAGACAGGAAAATAAAATTTTGAGAATTTTTTGTTGTTGTTGTTAAGAAGAGGAATTTACCAAAGTTGCAGAGCTGCAAATTACATAAACTCACATATTTCTCACACTAATGATTCTTAAACAATTTTCCAAATATCACTTGCAATATTAACCAGAGGTCATATTGGCAAAGGATATTTCATTTCCCTCCCTAACAGGCCCATCACCTTCTGCCCATGACCTTCCCTACTGGCCCTGCTTTTAGGCATAATTTTTCCCATAAATTTATGATGAAAGTAAAATAAAATATATAAAGTTCTAAGTCATTTGGGGTGACTTAGAACTCTGACTTGCATTTCACTGGACTTCTCTGTTTCCTTTCCTTGTGCTGGGGATCAAACCCAGGGCCTTTTGTGCATGGTAGGCAAGCTCTCTACTACTGAACAACACCATCAGCCCATTCATTGACTTTCTCTACCAACCAAGAAATATCAGCTCTTCACACGTTCCATTCTTATGGTAAGAGCCATGTAACAAGAGTGCTGGGGGCTAAAGTCTTGCTGAAGGGGTAGAGAGGGCCTGTCTAGCAAGTGTGAAGCCCTGGTTCAAACCCCAATACCTCCAAAAAACAAAAACAAAACAGAACAAAAGAGTGCTGAGGGTGTGCACATAAGAAAATAAAAGAGAAAAGAAAGTAAAGAAATTAACATTATTTACTCCTCCTCAGATGCTAAGTCCTATCTACTCCTTCTTTACATGTGTTATTTCATTTAATTCTCCCATCAATGTAACATTCATTTTACAACTCAGGGAAATAGAAACTTAGATTACCTGTTACAATTGGTCAAATGTCATACTTTCCAAGAAGTGGAAACCCAGATCTATCTGAATTCCATTCCCAAATTCTTATTTAGCTAGGCTACTTTACAAATAAAGTGACAGCAAGTAAATAACTTTCATGGATGACTTATTATGTCAAGAAACTATATTAGCTCATTTAATCTCGACATCATTTGGGTTATGTCATGAGTGTTATCCCCATTTAAACAATGAGACACCTGAGACTTATATGAATAAAACAACTTCTCACACTTTTTCTGGCAATTGAAAACTGGGACCAAAAATCTAAAGAGCAGGTGAAGAAAGGATCCAGGCAATAATATGAAGATAGGGTAAGACCAAGAGGAATAGTGTTATAATTGCAAGCTGGGAAGGAGGGAATTACCACAATGACAGGATGGTTGATGCTGTCATCCTGCAAGGAATGGAGAGTGCCCTTGGATTTGACATGAAGGGAAGCAGAAATAAGATTGTCATGTGAATCAGAGTATGGGGAGAGAATGGAAGTATATGAAATAAAGCTTCCTGGGAAACTTGACTTAGAAGGCAAAAAGACAGAGTTGCAGAGAGAGGGCAAAACTGAAGGAGAAAGTGTATTTGATGCTTTAGTCAAAGAGAAAACTTTAAGTCCTTACCGATGGAAATGGTGGAGATGGGAGAGGAAGTCTGATGGATACATCACCGGTGAAGAGAAAGGGAAATCTAGATCTAGGGGATCGTTCTTATCTGAGAGTAAGAATACCATTTTCATTGAAACAAGACGAGGAATTTGGAATAAATGGTAATTTGAAGCTTACAGAAGGCAGGAGTTGGGGTGGGGGCAGGAAAACCAATGCTCACCCTTATTGGTCTATGCAGAACCTGAGGTGAGAACCTATTAGCTCAGAAGAGGAGTCAGGGATAAGGGGTGGAGGTTGAAACTATGATGAGAACAAAATGTGAAGACTCAGAAAACCTATCAAAATTGAGCTCTGTGACATATAAATGGCCTCATGATTTAACATAGCAGATACAAATGTTACATCGTGATACAGTGTTCTGCCTGAAACTCGAGAATCCCTAAAAGCAAGCGTGTTTAAAGTGAACATCTGCATGCAAACACCTCGAAGTGGAAATAGCCTTTACAGAACATAGGTTTGTCAGTTATGTCCCTCTATAATAATTTGCATTCCTCCTGCATCTAAATCCATCACTTTCCTTCACAATGTTATCTTGGCAGTCCCTAAAAAGCATAAAGAATTCATGCTTTTATTCAACACCATGTGCTAAACCACTTCAAATATATTTGTGTTCTGGAAAAGCTAAACAAATGGCATAGAGGCTAGAGGTACTACAGAAAGCACAATTGCCAGGTGGAACGTAAACAGGGGTGAGAGAGTAGGTAACGGGGTTCCTACTCTTATAGCCCTCACCTAGGCATCACTCTCTTCTGAGTGCTGTGTTTTTTCCTGTAACTATGAAAGGACAGAATGAGCTCCAGAATACTACATTAAAAAGGATGGTCAAGAAAACCAAGTCAGGATGTTGAGGATGACATTAGGCGACACACAATCGTCCTTTACAGAAAATATCAGCCCTAAAGGTCAGTCCTAGGTCTAAATAGGCGTTTGCAATTTATATTGTATTCATAAGAAGCAGTGCTATTTTGTTCTCGGGATAAATTCCAAGAATTAGTTCAGAAAGTCACAGCACCTGATAGGCTCCTCGTGTTCCCCTTCCCATCACTTTTCCTAGAACTTACCTTTGGCCCCTAGAGGGTGAGAGGACCAAGGGCAGTCTGTGTATAGTCAGCTGGTGAGGGAGGCATGGGTCACTTAGAAAATGCCCACACCAAAGCACTGCAATAATCTCACATCTGACTCTTCAATGGAAATGTTTAAGCAGTAAGAAAATATTTTATGTTTTCTGGCAATCAGCAGATCAGACAGAACAATCACAGCAAACAAACACAGCAAAGATGTGTAATCTGACACAGTTAGACAAGGTTCTTTAGCACCAGAACACTCATAATTGGGACAAAGAGTATTAATAACACTTTCCTAACACGGCAGTTAGCCATTTTATATTTCCTTTCTTTAATCTTAGTGTTTTTCAACAAATCATGGGATTTAATAGCGTGTTTTGGCAGATTAGAGGATTTATGGTCCAGATGTTTTTTGTTCTAAAAATGGATTAGGGTGTAAAGTTTGCTGGAATCCACGGAACATGTTGAGGCAAGCCGGTCATTTTATGTGTGATTAGTGCCTGCCTTCTGTCTCACAGTCCCTCCATCTGTCACAATTCACCAATGGATCTGGTTAGATTTAGCCTCATGTCACAAACAAGTCCCTTTTCTGGGCAGTTTCGTATTACAGATTCATTTTATACCATTTCATGCCCCAGTTAAAAGATGGGTAGAGAGAAAGATGAGATATTAGCTTTCCTCCCTAAGATCTGCAGCTCATCTTAATAATGTGCACCAAATAAGCAAAATGACCAGTATGAAAAAATAAAAATAAGTCCAAAATTTCTTTACTCCTCACCCCTGGTACTCTTTAAAAGAAGCGTGTTGCCAGTGTTTTCCGCTAATGCTAGGTTGTGGCACTGCAGACAAAAGCTGACCATTTGACCATCTTATTAAGACTGGGAATTGTGTGTGACTGCAGCTAACAGTAGCCACAACTTCTCATCAATTACACGTGCTCGGTTACATCCCGTGCTTGAAATTTAGTCTCTTCGTTTTTACAAGTTTTGCCTCCGTATCATACCACTCCCACCTGTAGTTTATTTCCACCATAAATGGATTTGGGGGGGCAAATGTTCTTCTTTGCCTCAGTGAACAGTGATTTATTCCTTCTGTACGTAACAAACATAGTGCTATACACAAACTGGAAACCAACCTTTATAGTACTGTGAGAGGCTCAATAATCATAGCAGTCATTATCAGTGCTTAGATTGGTGAGAACATTCAAATATTCCCTCCATGAGAAAAAAAATCAAAGATGGATTTTATCTTTGCATCACAATATATTCATATGGTTTAATGGTATTTTGAAATTCTAAAAATCCGGGAACAATTCTATATCTCATAAACGTCATGTTTCCATTACAGATATTTGGCAACATATTCATGTTTGTGTAAATCAGCCATCATCAATTATTCATTCACTGATTTTAGAAGAAATTGTTTCATGCCGTACATGAGGCTTTACCACAAAAAGAAGTCAGTTTTTGATGAGAGGCTACCTCTCCAGGCATTTGCCCACATTCACCCTGTCTCATTTCAGGTTATCTAAATGACCATGACGTTGTCACCAAGGCAATCCAAGAAGCTCGGCAGATGAAGGAGCAGCTTCGGCGGGAACAACAGGTGCTTGACGGGAAGGTGGCTGTTGTCAATAATCTCGGCCTCAACAATTGTCGGACAGAAAAGGTTCGTTCACACAGTGCCGGGATGCTTTTACATGTCATCATCCTCAGAGTGCTGTTTCTCCCTCTCGGCTTTCCCTCCACCCATGCAGAAGTCCCCATGCTCATCCTAATCCAAACCATATGAAATGGGCAGCATTAGAATTCTCTCTGCCCAACTCCAAACCTTAGTGATGATGAATACCCCTCTTTCTGCTGCCAGTTTGTATTAAAATGAAGTGGCCTTTGGAAGATCTGAGTCTGGGCAAACCAGAGTTTTGCTTTACAGAGAAGCTTAACTTGTATTTGGGGATGGGAAGGATTGGGAAATGTAGAATATTCTCTAATCAGCATAAGCTTGGATGACAACCTTGCTCAGATTTAAGTGTGTAGGATCCCGAGCTTGCCATTGTGTGTCCAGTGCAGAGCACTGGTAGGTGACTGCAAAACTGGAAAGTCTTACTTTATCAAAAAATGAAACGTGCTTTTTAAAACTTTGATATGTGTTATACCTGAAACCAGTGAAACTTCTGAATTTGTCTGTGATGTGATTTCAAGTTGTTTTCCTTAAGCATACATTGTTTTATTCAGAAAAATATTGTGTTATTATAGAATGCTCAGAGTGAGGGGCTTTTTTTGCTGACATCTGGTATATTTTGAGTGAGAATTTTGAAGTGTTACTGAATCTCCTGTCCCATGATCGATGAGAAGAATGACCAGTCCTACCCGTGACTTGAAAGTTCACCATGACAAGAAGCCCAGTTGTCAAGGATGAGCAGATTGCTCATTTGGGTAGATTTTTTGCTTTCTCAGGTGTTTTGTGGAATTTGACGTATAATCGCTAAGAACCTAGCAATCTGCACAATGTGGCTGAAATGCAGGGCTGATCCTGTCCCAGCTGCTTTTTCTCTGGTTCCTAACTAACATGGTAAAAATTTAGGATGGAGAAACAATTTCAGTTCTGCACTGTCTCCAGAGGGGAGGGAAAGCATGGAGTCGGGATTCATTCCTTTAAGCCTTCTACATGCCTGCAACATGAGTGCAGGGAGGACGCAAAATTTTGATAGCTAAGCAAGGGAAGGGAAGGGGAAAGCAAAGTGACAACTCCAAGAAGGAATGATAGCAAGCATAAAGGAATTTATATTCAGATATTTAAACATTCTTGAAAGGATGCTTGAACAGAAATCCCTTCTCTGTGCTCCCCATGTAGAAATGAGTTTAACACTCAGCCAGATGCTAATGCAGACTGACTGGGGCTATTCCTCGCAAGCAGAGCTAAATTGCCGTCATTTGTTAAGCGCATTGAATTCAGCTGTGGATACAGCAGTTGGTTGCATTCAGCAAACATCTGTACCCTTTTTTTTTTTTAATCCTCCAAAGCAGAGACAACTTTACCTATCTCCCCCCTCTCCTCCCCTGTGCTGGCTGGGAATTGTCAAGTGACAACCGACCAAATCCTTTTGGACAGGAAGCCTTCATCCTTAGCTCTATATACTTGTAAAACAGGCCTGTGGTTGGATTGAGAACCCATTAGAAGCACTTTGATGGTATGGAAATTCATCTTCATGAAGCTCCTAGTCCCCTAAGTAGCATGCTGTTTAGCTGTGGTTACAGATCAGTCATTCACATCGGAGGGCAATAATTGCACTGACGGCTTGTAAGGCAATGGAAGTACATAAAATAATCCTGGGCCCTCCACCATGGCACTGCGAGTTAATCTTCTCTAATACAGATCAGCTGTTGTTCTAACACATGACTTGATGCTGGCTAAAAGTGACTCTGCACAGCCTTTTGATTAAGTAACAGAAGTGGGCCATCTGCATTTACTTTATTTCACAATTGTCCATTGTTAGGGAGGGGACCTTAGTTCCACTTCTTGTCTCACCTCCCAAATCATACTTTACTTTATTTCCTTCATTAGCACCTCCTACTTGGGTTGCAGGAGTAAGGTTACTGTTGATAGCTATGGCTTCAATATTCTTGAGTTATAACAACTTTTAAAACTCTGTTTTGAATTAATACCTGACCATACCTGTTGGTCAGTTAAGATGCCTCTGTTCTCAAGAAGGTCATTTCCAAATCTATTCACCATGTGCTTTCAATGTAGATAAATCTTGAACTTATGACTTTATTGGTGTTTAAGTGAAAATTTTCAATTATGAAAATGATGTAGTTCTACTAGTGCAAGACTGTAACAAACTCTTACATAAATAAGCCTCTTTGGCCAAAAGATCAGAGTTAGCCCACCCCTTAAGTGACTCTGACACCTGAGAAGAAAGTTGGGGTTAACTGAAGCTCTTTGACGTGGATATTACTGCAGTTGTGGTTACCTCTTCCTTTGGAACTAGCCTGAGTGTCTCTTCAACAACAATCAACCTGTGACTGTATAACTTAGGACGATGAGGTAATAATGTCAAATTTACATCTTTTAGTGAATAATTTCTCAACATTAGCATTGACTATTAGTAGGGGCTGTCCTGTGTACTTAAGGTATTATTTTGAAGCAGAAAACATGGTCTCTGCTTTTATAGAGCTTACTTTACAGTTTAGATTGTTACTCTGTTAATCATATTTATATACATGTGACCATCTATTGCCATTGATATAGCTTAGCTTGTCAGATCAGTTGTATGTCTGTGATGACAAAGACTGATTGATACTTGTTCTTCCAAATGAAGCAATATCTTTATGGATTTTGTGCTGTCACTTTCCCTTTCATTGGATTTTTCTTATCACTTGGCTTTATCCATGGCTAGTACATAGGAAGATCAGTGACTGGTTTGACATTTTGCTTTTTAGTTCTCCATAAAAGTCATAAACAGAATATATGATAAATTCCTTTTATATTTTGCACTATTGTTTGAATCCCAAAAAAAGGACATTTTTCTATCTAAAATAATAGTCATAACTCCCTAAGCCCACAAAAGTATGTGAAATGCAAAAAAAGAGGGATATAAAGCAGAAAAAAAGATGGAAAGGAGCTGGGATAAAGGAAAGGAGGGAGGAACAGGAAGCCAGCCTGGTGCTGTACAAGATAAAAGATGATCAATAGCACGACCTGAGATGCAGGTAATTAGAATCATGCAGCGCGGACATGTTTTCTTGGTACACCACCCTTGTACACATTAACTTTTCTTTTGCATCTCAAAAAGCCAACATGATTGCCCCAAGTAGAAGGTCTTAATTCTGAAAAGCTGTAATTGGCCAGTGAAAACAATTAGAGGTGTGAAGATAGGGACAAATGTTTTCCAGTGACATGTACCAAAACACATCATGAAAGTCATTTTTACTGAAACACATTTTAATTGAAGACTTCTAAAAGATTTTTCACTTCTTTACTTTTCTTGGAAGTGTTTCAACATACCCAAGAACTGTGTATGTCAGGTTTCTTGGAAACTCTGGGACACAGTGTTATTTATAATTGTCATCTCTGGTTAATTATAGACTGATTGTATATTCAAATAATGTTATCTTTTACCACACAGCTCTGCTACAGATAACTGTATATCACTAATCTCAGTGTTATAGATGAAAAAGTAAGCCTCTTAAGTAGGAAGAAACAGAAGGAAGACTGCCATACATTAAAAAACAAAACAAAACAACACCCATTTTCCTTTATTAATACCCAAATGGTACAACATTGTCCCTATACTCAGTTACATTGCAAGATCTTAACCTTGTGTTTGAAGGTATCTAGACCTAATGTGAGCTCAAAGAAACCTCATTTTCATTGTCTTGATCCTACCAGGCAGTGTTAATATAACAGAGACTCAGCACACTCAACTGAAATGAGGGATTGACATTGAATTTCCCAGTGCATTTTCCCCATTCCAGACGTGGCTGCCCTGGGAAGACTATGCCCATGCTGTAGTATGGTCTGCCAGGCATGTGTTTCTCTCCAGGCATTAGGAAATGTTAAGTGCAGTGGCTTAAACAAGTAGTGTTCAATCGTTGTCCCATGACAATTTAGAAGAAGGAGAGTGGTGGCATTAGTTCGTAAACTCAGTGATGTCAGGGTTGAAATCTCTGTGTCTCTGTTGCCTTTTTCTTTAGTGCCAAAAATGGTTGCTGCATTTAAAACAATCTCATCTCCCCTAAGGCTGGCAGACTCCGGGGAGAGCAGTTTTCTCTTTGCTTAGTTCAGTTATCATTCAAATGGGAATATTTCATTCCTTCTCACTAACTGGTCCCACAAACAGTTCATTGGGAATTACTGGTCAAAGGCAAATGGACTGCTTTAAAATGATCATGAATTATTTTCTACAACTGGATTAGAGAACTTGTCTTCCTTTACATTAAGGGTGATGTCAGTAGGGAAGAAAAGGAGGACCAGGATGGCTACTGGGTAGGAAAAGGCATTTTTGGCAATAGCTACATTATATTAATGATAACAAACCTTCACATATTGCCTTCATGAAACTAATGTATATTTGGGGGTTTCATAATTATTGTCACCCGTCTACCTTTTTGTCTTCCACCATTACATGTCCAGGATATATATTAAATGATATATATGAGCATGTGCACTGATGAACACTGCTTGATGACAGGTTAAATCTATGAATATGTGCTCACACACACGCTCCATACATGTTAAGAGTGACTTCTATACTACTTTTCTTATGTAAAACAGATGTCAATCACAAAAAAATAAGCATGGAAATGTAAGTTAGAGAATTTATTCACTAAACATTGTCGTCAGCGTTCCTGGAATATAAACATGCATGCATGTTATGTGTTCACCTAGAGTTGCAAATGATCCCTGGGAAAATATCTTCCTTTTCCTTCCAGGATTCAGGAAAACTTCTTTGCAAATTTCTATTGAATATGATAAAAATGTGGTCAATAACACGTATATTTTAAATCCTAATTTACTTGACAGTGACTCTAGCTATTTGTCAGTTATAGTCATAAGTCCTACCTCAGAATACATAGGCAGATTTGTAAGAAAGGTTAATTTGATTTCCCTGACACTTTGAATCTTTTCCATTTACAAGCTCCTCTTTTCTGCTGTTGTCAACCCTT